AACATACAAACTCCACCCAGAAAGACCCCAGAAAGTGAAACTGGGCTTTGAACCACGAAACTTCTTGCTGTGCTAACCACTGCACCACTGTGTCATCCTTTATCATGGTGTTGGTAAAACATTTTGGTGCATATTCGGCTATTTTACTCAACTTATTACTAGTTTTGCTAAATTTTTGTTACTGTTAGAAATAATGAAAATGTTTTTTTATAATGTTTAGTGTAGTGATATACTACACTCACAGAAAACAAACCATCCTCTCTAACTCAGCACATCTCTTTGCTCACCAAGACTCATTCATACTAAAGTTGGTGCTCATTCAACAACACTTCTGACATTTTGAGAGCAAAACGACACAGCGTGTCTCCAGGTCATCCTGAGCAGTGTGACATTCGTTCTCCCCCAGCAGGGCGCCTTCATACACCAGCCTGCGTCCACACATTCTCACCCTCTGTAAACATGTGTGACTGTATCACTTGACTTTTGTGCCATCTGGCCACTTCACACAGGCCAAGGGCAGACAAGTACACCAATTACGTGGAAGTTTAGAGTTTGGCCCCCGAGACAGCAGGGATGTCCACATCCATTTTCACCCGCCTTCATTTATATGACATGTTATATTTCACATTTTATTTTCTTCATTTCTGGTTTAAAGGCTTTCAGGGGCAGGAGATTTTCCTCTCTTTCTGTCACATCAGTGCCATACTAGTCTCCTTGATTTTCTCGCTCTCCCTCCCTTTGAAGTGCAGAGGTATAAGCACTAAGCCTTAATTACATGGCCTGATAATTAGTTTAGTGGGTCAGCCAGAGAGGGCTCAGCATCTTAAACCTGCCTTATTTTAAAAAGTCTGAATTCATCCCCATCTGAATTTATGATTTTAGTAGCTGAATCAGATTAGGATTCATAATTACTCATTTGTCATTCCTGTCGTTGAAATATATGAGATTGATTTAAAAAGAAACAACAACCTACTAAAGCTGTGATATTTAAATTTACTGGCTTTAAACCCTAATTTCTTTTCAAGTCATCCTATCTTCAAGGATCACTTGTGGTCTCAGCACACATGTACTTTATATACAAGCAAATTAGAAAATTAAACACAATTTTTCTTACAATGGTTTGTTTGGACCAGTAGTTTTGGCTAAAATCAGCTAATAGCATCATCCTCACTACCGCCTGACATCAGACACATCATCAAATATAAACTACTTCCAGCATTCATATTGTAGAGGTTAGTGTGATATAGTGAGTAAAGTGAGTGGAGTTTATTTATACAGCACCTTTCACAAATACAGAAATGACACAATACACTATTAAAAAACAATATTAGAAATTGCAACAGTTAAAATCACAAGTAAGAGCTAAAATGCCTATATGCTTTTTAGCAGGTAAAAGGTCTGCTAAGTTATAAAGGCCAAAGTCCAGCAACAGTGGGTCAAACACAGAAACTCTGCTCCTGAAGGACCTGAAATGTCTCATTTACATCTCTTGTCTTTTGTTGGGCTGTAAACCTGTTCTAGTAGACCCCAAATTAAATCTATGAAAACCTGTGAATGACCAAAATATGCGCCTGTTAAAGTCACAACAACAAAACAAGACACAAAACTAATTCAAAATATGGATTATCATGGAACTCGGTGGAAGGATGTTGTGGTATGGCTCAGGAAACAACAGATTAAATCCAGGTCGCAGATATTTCACTTTCTTTAACATTTAGGGGACTGATATTTATGAGTGTGTTTAATTTGGTTCAGTTGTCTTGAAGTTAAGCAGATTTTTGGCCATTGACTGAACTCCTGAGTGCTATTCTAGTTTAATATGGTCTGTGAAGGATATTATACAAATGTAAATTGCCCTTGATTGGAAAAAGGTTCCCCACCTCTGCTCTTTGTGGAGGTGACAGACTGAGACTTATTCAAATCCAGAAAAATCACCTGCAGAATAATTGTACATGTAATTTATTTGAATACAAAAGGTGCAAAAAGCAGGAGCTTCTGGTGACAAAAAGCAGAACATCATTTGCATCGTGAAGCATGTGTACTTTGTCAGTCACAAACACCTTAAGGAAACTATCATGTGATAACCATTAGTGTAAGAAATGACTCTTGACAGAATGATGTCGAGCACTTAGGGCTCCTCTGTGAAGTGTCAGTAGCTTCATATTGTGTATGCAACGTTTTGTTAATCATTTTTCATGTCAATTCATATTTGAAGGTGACTCCTGCAGGATGTTTCTCTGTATTAATCAGAAACCATTAACTTCAAGTTGCACTGACCTTCATGAATATTTTAAGAAACTGGTTGTGGCTGCAGAGCGCACAGGAAGTTAGTTATTTTGTCATGTGAAAGAAAAGACAGAGATCTCAAAATGCTCTTGTAGTTTAGATGCAAGATGACTTGCACAATCTCCCTATTTATTTTTTTTGCTGCAGTTGTCCTCAAATGTTTGTTAAAACTTTGATGGGCGCTGTTCGGTCTCCGTCGCTCTCTTACTCCCACCTTTCTACACCTCCCTCCCTCGCACCCTCCCTCAAGCCTTCTGTGGCTCAGCGAGAGGAGAGAGAAACGAATGATGGAGATAAACGCTCACCACAGAATGCCCGTGTCAGAGTTCCTCCTCAGACATGGGAATGCACCCACATGCTCACAGACATGCTCAAACACAGTGTGCACACAGAAACACACTAGTACGCCCACTCGCTGAAACGCAGAGTTCGTGTAGATATAACAAACGGGACGAACAAGCTGCCTGATATTCTTGGACTATATATAAACTACAAGCCGAAGGTGTTGGTATGATTTGCCAACGTGTGGATACAGTGTGTGTGTGTATGTAGTGTGTGTGTGTGTGTGTGTGTGTGTGTGTGTGTTTGTGTGTGTTTTGTGTCCCTTGAGATTTAACTTTTAAGAGCCTTGGGGCATGTGTGTTTTCACTGAATACGCTACAATGCTCTCCTCATTTGAGGACCCTCAGTGCAAAGACTATAAACACAAACAGATCTGAGTAGGTAACGTTTCTGCATTGCCATGGAAATGATTTAATTTTGCAATACATATAGGGAATCATTCACATGATTAAAAAAACTGTGTAAGAATTTACCTGAGAGAAACTGACGGTGAAGCAGAGCATGCAATGCAAGCAGTTTGAATTAGGTCGCCCCCGCTCTCCCTTGTTCATTGTCACTCTTCAGTTTGTAATATAGTGTCATGTGTAACATGTCTCGCTGTCTCCTCCCTGTAGCATTAGACCAAGTAGGTCCTCTGTCACTTTGCTGAGGAGGATAAACATGTCAGTGGAGGATTTTTTCTTTGGTTTGTCACTTGTTTAGTCATCTGCCAGTGTCAGACTTGTCTGTTCAGTGCTGTGAATTATGTATGTATGTATATATATATATACATATTTCACAATGACAGCACGGTAAAGCTTTATTTTTTGTTAATTTTATTTCCTAAAGATTACTCAACAAAATGCGTCACTAAGCTCTGAAACTCTAATTGTAGTTAGTTCAATTTGTTGTGTTATTTTTGACTTCCAGATGAATTCATGTGATAGAAATCACTCAAAATAATTCTCAGTGAAGATTTATCACTTATTAGTTTATTATTGGAAACTATTCCTTCATTTAAGCTGCATTGTTGACACATTTTGCATGTTCTGCTCACCTGCCTCTGAATAAAATCTAACAGTAGTGCCAATTTGGCATATATCAAAAAAAGTTATTCAAAAGCAGATTTTTTGGAAACTAGCACTTGTAGAGCACATAACTCAACCATGTTTTAGAAAGTGAAAGTGACATGAACACATGACCATACATCAGTATGAGAAATACTATCCATAATGACAGAAACCATCTTTGAGAAAAAAACATTTGACTTCTTAGTTTGGTTTATGTCCCATAGACTAACATGGAGGGGATGGGGTTTATGACCTATACTGCAGCCAGCCACTAGGGGGGTATTGAAATATTTTAGCTTCACTTTTGGGGCCTCACATGTTGTTTGTTTTGAACCTGATGGACAGTCTCTTCCTATCCTCTCTCATTGTAGTTTTTATCGCCAGATTGTTGAGTCAGAAATTTGTCACCTTTGGAAATATAATAAAAAACTGGGAGCATTTTATATCATGCAAATGAATAATGAACAGTAAAACCTCCAGTTTTCAGTTGCATCTGTAAATGTTAAATCAGTGTGCTGTTTAGTGGAGTATAAATGAATAACTAGTACTTGAGCATCTGTCTCATCTGTGTAGAATAACATCTCTCCCCATCTCTCTCTCTCTCTCTCTCTCTCTCTCAGTTATGAAGGTCATAGTTTATGACACGTGATTTGCATACAGCTTATAATTTAAATAGCAGAGAATAGTACTGACTTAAGTTATGCACAGAGTCACACATGCACAATTCTTGATGTTGGGTGAATGTTTGTGTTCTCCCCCACTCTCTCTCTCTCTCTCTCTCTCTCTCTCTCTCTCTCCCTCTCTCTCTCTCGTCCTTGTTCAGTTCTTCCTCTCTTCCTCCACACGTTATTTTCTTTGATCGGTTTGTTTCTTTACCCTCCCACTCTGCATTCTGACACTGCTAAAGGGATCTCTCTCTCTCGCTCTCTCTCTCTCGCTCTCTCGCTCTCTCTCTCTCGCTCTCTCTCTCTCACTCTCTCTCTCTCATGCTGTATCTCTGTCATTGCTCTCTTTCCCCCCTCTCTATCTCCGTTTCTTTCGCACCTCCCTCCTTCCATCCTGCCCTCCCTCCCTCCCTCCCTCTCCCTCTTATCTGCTTCCCTCACTATCTCTCCATGCACACTTGATTCATTTTACACATTACGGAGGCATCCATCATTTCGCTCTGTGAAGGAAAAATATCATCTTCTTTTTTTCTTTTTTTTTTAAAATCCCTGACAATATTTTCCACTTCTTTCATTCCGGCTATCTTTTCCTTTCTCAACTCCAACACTCTCCTCTGGATCCAATTCTAAAGCTGGAACCAATATGTTTTATTTCCAGCTGGTCATCATGGCAGGGACCGTTCTATTGGCGTACTACTTCGAGTACACGGACACATTCCCCGTGCACGTCCAGGGCTTCTTCTGTTTTGACAAAGCCTACTCCAAGCCGTACCCGGGACCAGAGGACAACAGCAAGGCGCCACCCGTCCTCGTCTACTCCCTCGTCACTGCCATCCCCACGGTGACGGTGAGTCTGTGTTTAACTTGTTAAAGAAAAATGAAAGAAAAAAAAAAAGAACTTCCACAGGTGCTTATCACGTACAAACACATCTCGGATGACATGACAATCACCTACATGCATGCACACACGGTCAATCCAAAACACACACACAGATACTTCCTCCTCATCTACACATGGTGTGCGTGGATTGAAAGAGAGGAGAGGTGTGTAAGTGTGCATCCTCGTGGTCTCACCGCTCTGTTTTTGTGGATGCGTTCGCTGTCATAACCATGGCAACGAGCACTATATTTGTCCTCTACAGAGCAGTAGCTACAGTTAGCTGCAGCGTCCTTGTTTCAAGACTGCTCGGCAGTAACACAGGGAACCGCATCAGCTCCAAGCGGCTTCCCTTTTTTGTGCACAAAAAGTGGCACAGTTTCATTATTTTCATCCCAGAATTACATATGCATATTGATGCATCTTTAATAATTAAACATAATTTGTAGGTCATGTATTCTTGGCAGAACACACATTGATGCGGAGAATCAAACATCACTATTAGTCTGATATATTTTTGTCATTCATTGTAGTAAGTCATGGATTTCCACAATAGTGCTAAATCAGTAATTGAAGAATCTATTGAATTCCACTGTGGCAGCCACTTGTCTGTACAGTGGGATGTATTTAATAATGAAACACAGCTTCACATCTTCATCAAAGCTCTGTGCCTGTCTTGTCCTCCAGGGCCTGTCTCTCTCATGTCCCACAGTTAAGTGGCATTACTACATGGATGCCTCTGAGCCGCAAACACACACACACACACACACACACTATCCTCTATCTTTGTGAGGACAGTTATTGATGTAATGCATTCCCCTTGCCCCTAAACGTTACCCTGACCGAACCCTTAAACCAAGTGCTCCCCCTCAAACAGCCTGCTGAATTTGAGAACTAGCAGGAATGTCCTCTCTTTCCCAAATTGTCCAACAGTCCTCACAAATATAGACTAACACATAGAACATGCACATGCACATGCACACGCACACACACACACACACACACACACAGGCAGTCCTGGGTCATTTGCTGCTGTATAAAAGGGACGACTCCATTCCCTCATCTGTCTGATCTTAAGCTTTGATGCAAATATACATCTCTATTACTTAGATGAGCGTTCCTAATAACAACGACTACGATACGACTTTACGTTGTAAATCCGAGACGTTTTTATTAGTGGCATTTACATATTGCACTTTTTTTAAACCACATATGACAGATGCACAGGTGCACAGGTGCACTCTGTATACATTAGTGTGTATGGATAAAGGCTGCAGGCAATAGGGTGTGTGAGCTGTTCAGAGTGGAAGGAGTAAAGTGGCTTGATTGTGCCTGGGGTGCGTAGCTGCTTTTTTTAAGTCAGAGCATCTGCGTTCTCTCTCGCTCCAAGATAACGCTCCATCCCACGAGCCTCTGTTCAGATACAATAAAAACGCAGATAGTCATTTTTCGTGTCTCTCAAATCTGCCTCAGACTTTTTGTCACAAAGAGAACTTGGATGAGTTCTTCGACTGACAGCACAGATGTTTTTACTGCTACAGCACATATCACCTCAATGTGTGTGTGTGTGTGTGTGTGTGTGTGTGTGTGTGTGTGCGTGTGCGTGTGTGTGTGTGTGTGTGTGTGTGACAGTTCAAACTGATTTTTAAACTTAAAAGAAACTCGGCAGGTTTCTTTTATTTTTTCCCTCAGACCCTCTCTCTGCCTGCTGCTGTCTCATTGTATGATGGTGGTTATAGACAGGCGACTATATAGCTGCAGTTTCTTGCTCAACCTAAAACCTTTAAAATGGTGATGCAGAGGTGTAGTTTTGTACTCAGAGGCGTTGGAACAGGGCAGGCAAAGCAGGCAAGCTGAGAACCCCCTTATATTCTCGGTCTGGCTTTGTACAAGAGGATGCCATGGTTAGAAACCCCCTATAGTGAGGCCCCATGCTACTTTTTGCCAGTAGCTTCATAACTTTAGAGGTTTGGTTGGAGGTCCCTTTTGCCTGGGGCCCCCAAACTGCTTTGAAACAGTCACAAGCAGGATAAACACACAAGAGCCCAAATTATTGCAGCAAATGCTGAGATATCCAGTCTTTTATTCCCTTGTGTGGGTTTAAGCCCGCGTGCCACGACAAAACAAGAGCTCCAACTGTGCATGCCCTCCTCCAAGCGGACTCCAGGTTCTCTAGAAATAAGTCTACACATCTGTGTTGTCCACAGCTGTCTGTGTACGTGTCTGCAAGAGAGTATAATTGGGGCTTGGGAGACTGCTGTCCTGGCCCCGCTTGCCACTCATGACAGCTGATGTTGCTACCTCTGTTAATACTGTTAACGTAAAACATAAAGAGCACATCACACAGGTTCTTTGATTCTGAGTCATTGAGAGACGTTTACCCCAAAGTTAATTAAAAAATGTAAAGCTCAGAGTTTCAAAAATACAAAATCAACAATAATTTAAGTATACACTAATCAATGGGGCTTTTGTTCTCCACAATAACTGTTTACCTGTGGGCAACCAAAGCGAGCTCAAATGTGATTGGTCAGACTAGAAACAGAAACAAGAAGGCTTCAAGTTGCAAAACTTTGTCCTTGCCTGGGATCTGTTAATAGATATGCATGTTCCTACTCTGTTAAGTATTTTTTTTTATCCAGCTGTATAAGACAAGGAGAGACATTGCCACAGCCACCACAGTGTATGCCATGTGATCTTTGCTGAAATGTGATATGTCAGTTTAAGGACCTCACACTGACAACATGCTGAGGATTAAAGAATCCCCTTAAAGATGCCATGTGGAGTTTTTGACCTAGTGTGCCATGGAGCTGTTGTGTTCATGTAGGCGATGTGATACACATACTGCCGATGGTTTCACACTATTCCGCACATCTACAAGTGGCAGTAATGTGCCAATAAATGCAGGAGTGTGTCGACAGAAGCAAAGAAGAAGAGTCTAAGCTTGAAAACATGAACGTAAAAGTATCCAGGATTTAAAAGATCAGCTTTGGATAAAAAAATATATCCGAACTCAAGGATACACTTGAAGTGTGTTTTTGTTTGTGCCACTAAATGTTTACATTTTGAGCCTGGATATTAAATCTTGAGTAAGATTTACTAGATTCTATAAAGGATTAATGATTATTTATCATTACATGACGGAATTCTGATTGTCAGGTCATTTGAAGGCAGTGGAAAACACTTAAAAGCTCTGGTAGTAGCTAAGTAAGGATGTTCATAATACTTACCAATATATTAATAAGTAATTACGTTTTTTGCACATCAATTCCTTTATTTATCTTGGGTCCAACAGACATGATTGATTGTCGACAGTATGAAAATACAATAAAAGATGACAAGTAAGAATCTGCAACAGCTCATTACTCTAAAATGTCATGGAAAAGAACAGGAAATGTAGGTTCGTGTGTGTGTGTGTGTGTGTGTGTGTGTGTGTGT